TAATCATTTAGAAATAACAAAACCGTTATTGACCTTGAAAGTTGCTTAGAAAATTAAATACATTTTTAAAAGCAATAAGTCATCCAATTTACATCACTAGAAGATATTTTACAATAATCATAAATTAAGTATATGTGTATATTTTTCTAATGAAGCTTCAAGACTAATATAAAAACCATATGTATCTTGTAATGGTTTGTAGAAGTTATTACATGTGACGTGGCGCGTGTGATTGACAGGTATCATTCCTCTTCCAATGCGATGCTTTCATCAGAAGTTCTTTTTCTGGTTTCTGGTTAATTTCAAGACTAATTGTAAAAGTTGAGTTAAGTAAAAGTGTGGCGATGTTTGTAAATATTTTCTAGTTCAACGTCTGATGTAAGTTAATATTTAATATCTATAAACCCCACTAAACAGTTTCTATCTACTTTGGATCTTTCGAATTAACAATCGGGAGCTGCGGTAGCTCAGTTAGTTAGACGTTTGCTCACTAACCTGAAGGACCAGGGTTCAATCTCGGCATAGATGGAGTTGATACCTTCGTATATTTCAACCCGGTTTTCACCTGTCAAAGATGCAGTTAAGAGGGACTGACATGTAAAAAGCGTTTAGTCGTTCGGATGGGACAATAAACCGAGGCCCCGTGTGCTACAGACTGTGCACGTAAAAGATCCCTCGACAGTTGTAAATCGAAAAAGAGTAGGCACAATGCCTCTGTTCTGGTAAAATTTCCCTCATTGTACCCTAGGACGCAAAACTCCATTCATTTCAAATTTTCAATCAAACGTTCCATAGCTTTAATATATTATGTCGAATTGAAGTCATATTTTGCAAATGAAAAACATACTGTTAAGTATAAACTTCCCCCACCCCTCTAACTGTAGTCCGTATGCATAGTTATATTCAGCTGTAGGCTATGTAGAATTTCATGCAATGTTATAATCATTTGTATGAAAAATAACAATTTATATAACAAGTTATCTTAAACTGTATTTATAGTTATAATCAGCTGTATGTATAGTTATAATCAACTATATGTATAGTTATAATCAACTGTATGTATAGTTATAATCAACTGTATGTATAGTTATAATCAGCTGTATGTATAGTTATAATCAACTATATGTATAGTTATAATCAACTGTATGTATAGTTATAATCAACTGTATGTATAGTTATAATCAACTGTATGTATAGTTATAATCAGCTGTATGTATAGTTATAATCAACTGTATGTATAGCTAAGATCAAGTGTATGTAAAGCTAAGATCAACTGTATGTACAGTTATGATCAACTGTATAGTTATAATCAGCTGTATGTATAGTTATAATCAACTGTATGTATAGTTATAATCAACTGTATGTATAGTTATAATCAGCTGTATGTATACTTATAATAATACTTTGCGGACTCTTTTATAATACACTGTGCAGATAATTAGCCTCGTTGATATTGCTGACATAGTACTGGAAATATTTTAACTTTAATATTGTGATTTATAGAAAGATCTGGCAGGTTAATTTGTAAAGAATTTGAAGAGAACTTTCCTATTAATTTTACAAAATTGGAGACTTAAACATAAAACATGTTCGTAAGAATTTTATTTATAATATTTTGACATAAAATAGGGTTATTTAGTGAAATAATATAGGAAAACATAATTATTTACATTTCGTGCATAAAATGTTAATCCCAATATGCAAATTACACAGTAAATCTGTCACTGGGCATTTCCTTTTTGTCACGGCCGACTGGCCTAATGCAGATAGCTGTTTGAAATCATACAGTGCGAATAATTTTGTCGTAATTCTGTTGTTTTGCTTCTCGTGCTTCTCGGCTCCTTTCTATAGCAGAATATAAACTACATTCAGACAGAATGTTTGTCAGAAATATGATGTTTTAGAATTACAAACATTTTGGTTTTGTTTTATTGCATATTTCATCCAGTTAAACATGTGTTTTCGTTTTCTTTTACCTCTTACATTGAGTTTTTCTGAGGCTCGTTTACAAAGCATTGTCGTCGTTTGTTTTCTTTTGCAATTTCATGGTATGACCACAGATCAAAGTGATAGCGTGGAGCCAAAAAACGTACGTGTAAAAACGCAATAGATCGCATTATTTGATCGCATCAGTTGCAATGCTCAAAAATGATTTTATATGATTGTGTACACAGATAGTGCTTCTGCTGCACACCATTGAAGAATAAATATGCGTCATATGTATTTCTAAAATTCCTAAATGTGATGAAATATTTAATGCGCAGAACAATGTATATAGATCGTACAGAGCAAGCGAAAAGAAATCTTTTGAAATTCTATAATATCCTTTAAACCAATCTAAAATACCTCATAAGGTAAGGGATATTTGATGTACATGCAACTTATATTAAACAAAGACCCTGGTTCTGATTTGATATTTCTAGATGAAAATCAGAGTCGTTATAGGCTTACAATGCTAAAAAAAAAATCATCCTATACATACAATAAACATTCCATAATAAAGAAATTATGTTGAATAAAATGTTATTTGTTTGTCGAACTGTAAATATGTGTACAGATGCTGTTCGTGATCTTTGACACATCCGTAACAGCGATACCTCTCCATTTACACCATTTCTCCATAAATATTTGATTAGGAAAATGGTTCATTAATAAATTAATGGGAAAAAGAAAGGCCGTCGGTAGTCAACATCCGATCCATTAGATATTAGAATAGCGGTGATCAACTCGTAATCTAATTATTGGCAAGGTTATTAGATTAGCCTGCTATCTTTAAAACGGTTGTGGTCTTTTATATTTTGTTGGAAATCTCTATTCCGAACGATGGAGGCCATTTCTGTGTTATTATTCGGTAACAAAAATTCTAAATCTATAACATATCATAAACACATACGTTTACTAAAAATCAAGTGTTATTATTTTAGTATTCTACTTCACAACCTATATTGAAAGATAGAGTTTGGCTAGGAAATTTTTAGGACAATACGTTATAGATGTTTAAACTTATATTTCTGGAATATAACCAATTATAGATATCTTTTCCTTCCAAACCCTTTGGTGTTTTGCATATTCTATAACTTATCAGAGCATTAACGTTGGAAAAATCAGAAACGTGAAACTGTAGCAACTTGAAAGTAGCGTCGTCACATCTGAATTTGATGGACAATTTTGCCGCCATTTTGAATGATTTATGTCGTGTTTCGACGGGAATGATTTTACGCTATTCTATTACAAGCCGGGGGCCTGATTACCCGACGTTTATTTCAACATGAAGTCATATAATGGAAAATTCTTGGGGTTATTTTATTAGTCTCGCCATGGAAATCAGTGATAGGAACGCATTGTTTTTTCTGATGATTTTTTATTGATTACCAATTATATTAGGTTTGTATTTGAATTATGATTGGCCGTGACATCGAACAGAATTTTAACAGAGATCCCAGGGGCCCCAAAGTTTCAATAATGCAATTCAATGTATTATCACCATTTCAGAATTTATTTGCATTTTATTTACGGTTACAAAATATATCGATTTGATGATAGCAAGAGACTAAAAAAACGATTTTCATAAACGATTTTCATAAACGAAGAAATCCCGAAGGCTTGTTTCTTGTTAAATACAGAAGTCTATTTAATATTTTCATCGATGAAGTATTAAAAATATCGGAAACAATCTTCATGTAGAGTACTGTTAGGTCAGTAAATATTATTAAAATTTAAGTAATGTATATTAATAACAAATTAATTAGCAATAGATTGCCTCTCATCATCATTAAAGATTGTTAATTATTTCAAAATTGGCATAATACAAGATGTTCAACATACCTTTAACTACATTAATACAGGTTTCTGCATTTTTCTTATATAACTAATCAATGGGCTGGTCAGAATCTGACAGTTGATATACAAGTTAATTAAATATTAATATAAATAGCCTACATCTACTAATGTATTTAATGAAATCGTTCGTTCTTTAAGGCAAATGAGAATGCTTGTATTGTAAACCACAGCAAAATACTTTTGATAATTAGGCCTATGTTAAAAATTTCAAACCTTTGAATGTTTTTTGAAGTGTTTGATAAGATTCTATTTGTTTTATACTCAATGTCAGAATTGATTTAACATAGAGTCATAATGGAACTATACAGTTTTATTACGCGGTAGGCAAGAAAAATCCACGACTTCCTTTACCTTTTACACCATATGAACTTGAAATGACATTTTTTTTTGTAAATATCTTTATTATGGGAAGATTGTTTTATTTTGAACGATGGATGAACATTGAAATGTTTTAAATAAATTCTTTAATATTGTTTATTATATCATGTAGAAGAAAGCTATACGTTATCTCAAATCACAGATTATCTGCACGGTATCATGGCTTGGTATAGAAGTGATAAAAACAATTTATGAAGAATGTTAAGAAGGTATATGATTAATAATATACGACAAGATCTGACTAATATGATGACAGTTTCAATCTTTCATTTTCCTGGTATTCATAAACAACCGTAAATACCATCAAGCATTGCACATATCAGTACTATGGTATATAGTTTGGGTTTAAAATGCGCTCAGAACTCAAGTACCTGTTTGATTGTTTCGGGGAGGATTCTGTTCTGAAACTTGGATCAGCCCTGCCTTTTAATCAAACTTTCGATGAGTTTCGTTTTGTTGTTCTTTGGGATTTTTTTTTCTGAACGAGTCGTGTCAATGCGAAGGGAATACAAAACTTCCTCTAAAAACAGTCTTATCTCTTTTTTCAAATGTAACGATTTGATACAAAGAACCTGAATATTGTTAATTTTAGAAGCTCATATTAAGTGAACCGTGTGCCCTCATAATATCGAAATTTAGACAGAAGTTGTGTTTTGAGAGTTATTTGACATTGAATAAGACCTATTTGAATATCAATATATCCATAAATCTTGCTCTACTGTCAGTAGAAAATCACAAGCCTGACATGTGACACTCGTAAGTGACATAGATGATCCGAAAAGATGGCACATGACGAATTCATATATCTCGTATATTGATATGTGCCACGTGTAAAAGTTAAAATTTTTGTTCAACGTTATTTGTCTGTTAGCCTAGTTTTGACGTTAATTTGTCCCATGATAAAATGCTAAGTGTAGAAAATTTGATATATCGAGAAATTAACTAGTTAAGTGGACAAAGTGGGATTAATAAAGATAAATGTTTCAAGCAATGAATTTTGATTTTTATTTTCTCTCAAATTATTAATTCTGACTTGTATTTGTTTCCGACATTTTTTTATATATTTTGTCAAAGTCTTATTGATCGCTTTTGAAATGTTTCTTCCTCTCTTTTTCCGACTTGCTGTATAGAAAAATCAAATTGCAAAAAAAAACACGTTTTAGATATTTAGAATACATAAAACATTGTACACATAGAACTTAAACAAATAATTTATGAAGAAATAATAATTCATTCAAATAAATAAATGAAACCGTTTTCATTGCATAAAGCATTAGAAATAATTCAATTCATAGAAATACCATTGCCTTTTAAATGTTTAAAAAAAATAGAGATAAATACACTCTTATTCTTAAGTTTTCAAAGATGAGCCAAGTGCACGTGAATATGATCATGTACACCTACTTATTTTTAAATAATATTTAGAATATGTAATTTTTGTTCAAAGCACTTATAATTATGCTGTAGTATAAGGCAGTTATTCATAATTAACATGGAAATCTTAACAATTATCTTAAATTACAATTTATTTCAGGTCTTGGTTTATGTGGATCACTTGCACGGAAAATGGAACTTTGGAGAAATTCGTGCCATTTTCAGTCGTCGGTATCTTCTACAAAATGTTGCTATAGAAATATTTATGGCCAATCGTAGTAAGTATAATTGATTTTGAAAATATTATAATAGCATGTGTACGGAAAAAATATATAAGAATTACTGAAGTAATTGCATGTTTCTGAATAGCCCGTATACTGGCTCTGACTTCGGGTGCCTAATGACAAGGCGCAATATTAACGTTAATATAAAGACCTATATACATATATACATATCCTTATGAATATTAAGTGGCTTGTGAATTCCTTCTGGATTGTGAATATTGGTCTCGCTATCTATTGATTATCTCCGGAATCTATTTTCTGTTGAATAAATTATATTAGAGCATTGATTGTGCAATACTGGTGAAAACTTGACACTTGTCGATTTGCCTTGAGGTAAATTGGTTGTTGAGGGAAGCAAACGTCGAGTAAACCGATAACGGAGAAAATTAAAATCAATTGTTACTGACTCGGTTTCTACTATTGTTATATATATTATGATTTTCACCTATCCCAAGGCTAAATAGACACAAACATTCCATATAGCTCGCGGACATTAGACCACTAGTTTATCAGAACGCGTGCCATGTCCGCGTAGCTCCTCGCTTCATCATTCTTGACATCTCGCGCTTAATTAATTCTTTACTGAATAAATACTGGCAAAATGGCGACTAACATCTCAACAAAACAAAGCAAATATATTTTATGTAGCATTATTATAATATTTGATAAATGGTTTAGACAAACATTATAGTAAATCGTTTACTAAATTGCTTTAATCACGCGTCTGCCAGCAATCTTTTTCCATTATTATATGATTCGCCATCTCTTGCGGCTAACTTCATAAATTTTAGTTTTTTAAACAATATTGCCTACGTTCGCTTTGATAAATTTATAAGGTTAGATTAAGCAAAGCTAAATTCGAAACATATGAGGAGTCAAATTTGTAGAAGTGGTTGTTACTTGCGCTTATGGCATACCATAATATGTAGGCCTACCATAATTCATATAGGGGTGATTTGAACTTGACCTCACGTTGGTCCAGTCGAGACACCTTTTCCCTTTTTATCAGATAATGCGAAATGCCACTTGATGAAATATCAATTCTAGCAAGGGGTAGATAATCAAGATTCGAAATATATTACTATATTAATTTAGAGAATAAAATGTGTTACTATACAACACTTATAATATGCTGCAAAATCATTTAATTTAAGCTTGGTCAATGTTTTAATGATGTGACAATTTGTATGGATAGCGATAGTTAGTACTGAACTGGTAATGAATCAAGGGAGGTAACAATGTTATTTATGTTTCATTTCAGCTGCTGTTTTCTTTGCTTTTCCTGATCATGTAACAGTGAAGAAAGTTATTGATGCCTTACCACGAGTTGGAGTTGGTATTAAATATGGATTGCCTCAAGCCAGGTGAGATGAACTGGAATATGTTTCGTCTGGTAAAGTATTACCTACTTAGGTTTACACTTACTGTGAAATAAAATAATGCTCAAGGGATTCAACTTCAATGTTCTTTTTCAGACGAATGTCTCTGGCCTCTGGTAAACAATTATTCAAGTTATCAACTATGATGACAAAATGGCAGAGAAGAGAGATATCAAACTATGATTATATTATGTTTTTAAACACAGTTGCAGGTGAGTCACATAATACTATAAATCCTTATGTTGATTATGCATAAACCTACATAAATTGGTAATTGTCTACATTAATTGGAATTGACCTGCAGACCTTTACAAAATTCTCTCAGAATTTAACAAAATGGATTTACTGTTATTTTCAGGTCGAACTTACAATGATCTAAACCAATATCCTATCTTTCCCTGGGTACTGGTTAGTTATGATTCCAAGGAACTTGATCTCAGTCAACCAAATAACTACAGAGATTTGTCAAAGGTATGGTTATTAGCTTATGTTCTTGTTTTTGTTTCTATTGTATCTGAAGTGGTCCATTCTCATGGTTTTGTCAAATTTACCTCTAGATATGTGGATTTGAGTTTGTTGGATGGACTATCTGAAGGTGAATCTGTTGTTATTTTTTAGCCCATTGGTGCCCTAAATGAAACAAGAAAAACCTATTTTGAAGAAAGATACACAAGTTGGGATCATGACCAGATTCCACCATTCCATTATGGTACCCACTACTCTACAGCTGCTTTTACTCTCAACTGGTTAATAAGAGTTGTAAGTATTATTTCCTATTATTTAAAAAAAAGATTGATATTTTCACGTACACGAATTTTACCAATCTAATAGACAATTCATATGATATTGATACAGTAGAAAGGTTCTGTAGGATTACAGTTTTTACATGCCAAACTCCAGCATTAAGATTGAAAATTAATATGTTTAGGTATTTTTCTTCCTTACAGGAACCTTTCACTACCATGTTTTTAAACCTTCAAGGTGGTAAATTTGATCATCCCAATCGTATTTTTACATCTGTTAGTCAATCCTGGAAGAACTGTCAACGTGATACATCTGATGTTAAGGTATGTACAAACAACTAACAACTAAAAACAGCTTCTTCCAACAACAGATTTATATCAACTAAGTCCACAAGCCTACTAAATCATTGAAGAAAACAGACATCCAAAAGCCATGTTGGTTATTCTTTCAAGGTAAAGGTCTGGTTCAGAGTCAACCAAAATTTGGCATGTTGATTTATTTTTTAGGAATTAATACCAGAGTTTTATTGTTTACCAGAGATGTTTACCAATGGTAATAAATTTAATCTTGGTAAACAAGAAGACGGTCATGTTGTTGATGATGTAGAGTTACCAGCATGGGCTAAGACACCTCATGACTTTATCAGAATCAACAGAATGGTAAGCTTTTTCATCAGCATATAGCTGTCCAAGTCCAAAAATATTTTTAATTTGAGAGCCACTGCAATTCCAATGTGGTGGGTTTTAAAAACTTTACAGGTACGCTTATGTCTGTTAGTTCTTTTTCAATTATGATTATTTGTGAAACAAATTGTTGTGCTTAGCTAATATGGTTTTGTATTCATTTTAGGCATTGGAGTCTGAGTTTGTATCCTGTCAACTTCATCATTGGGTAGATCTTATATTTGGTTACAAACAAAGAGGTAAGATAATTTCAGGGTTGGCAAGGCCATTTGTCAACATGAGTTAATTCCAGTTCCATTAATGTTTCTGATGTTGATACAATATTGACTTATCAATTTATAATTTAACAGGACCAGAAGCTGTACGTGCCACCAATGTATTTTATTATCTTACTTACGAAGGGAGTGTTAGTTTGGAATCAATGACAGATCCTGTCATGAAAGAGGTAAATAAATTTTAGCAAATGGAACTGATCCATGTTTGTTTTTCTGACCATTTTTACCCATTTTACCACATTATACTTAACATTGTTCCATGTTGACTCTTGTCGCTATAAGTTTTTGTCAAATATTTTCATCCAGTTTTGATAAGACGGATCCTTGAGTCATTAAGTCTCTGACAATTTTATTTCAAAGATTCCTTCTTTTTATTTTTACAGGCAATTGAAAATCAAATCCGCAGTTTTGGTCAAACGCCAACACAACTGTTAGCAGAGCCTCATCCACCTAGAAGCTCAATGATGCATTTGGTAAGTGAATAAATCTTTTTTGGAAGCATTTACATGCTTTTAGAAAATCATTCACACTGCTTATAAATGTAGTTAGAACTCTAGTGCACTATAAAAGAAACCATGCAGCATAGCCATATCTGTTTAAGCTTTGTCTAAGATCACTTCATTCATACACATTTAACTTTATATTATTTTATGGGTTCATTATAGACCGAACCTCATGCACAGGTATAGTTGCCCTCAAACCCTTACCATTTACTACCAAGCATGTTTTTTAATAAATAAACCAAATCTTACTAATTGATAATTGAATGTTTGCTCACCAGGCATGATTACCTTTGGAATCCATTTCAAGAAAAGTATTTCTGTTGTAAATGACATGAAGATTACAAAACAATTTTCAGCATCCTTTTAGTAATATGCATTGCATACGGTATAATACAAGTTATGAAAATCTGAAAAATTCTTGCAATGATGTCTCATATTACAATGCCTTTCTTTAAATTTGTAAAAACCAATACCACTAAATTTATATTGAAATTTCTGCACTATCTGTTGTGATGTATTTTGATTTTAGGCAAATAAGGGAAGGTTCCATTTTGTGGATGGTACATTACTGAATTCTTTACTGAACTGCGATACTAAAATTTGGACACTGAAAATTTCTGGCAGGCAAAACAAAATTAATTGATAGGATTTCCATTATCAATAGAGCTGATTAGATAATGGGGAACTTGATTACTAACAATATAGGAGATTGGACAGTTAAGGGTAACAGGTTGTTATTAAATTTTATGTGTGAATTGAGTATTATACTAACATTTTATTCCAGTTGACTGAGAAATACCAGGAGAATAAGAAAAAAAATATTAAGCAGGTTCATTCCAAAGTTTTCATCGTTTAATCTTGGGATTGGAAATTTCAGACTGTGCTAAATCTAATTCTTTATTGTTGAAGACTTTCTGAAAGTTTTATTTATTTGATTGAAGGTTGAGGGATAATTCATCACAAAAGGAGACAAAATTTTCCTTCATTTATTAATTTTTCCAATTGTGTTCTTGCTTGAATTTATTTCCAGATTCAATTTCCTTTTTGAATGTGTTTGCATCTTTAGTTCCAATTAATTTCCCTTAATGTAAATCTTTATCAATTGCTTTCATGATAAACTAGTTTTTGATTAAATCAATTAACTCTGCTTATGTAAAATCAAGCTTATACTCTATATAAAACTGATTATCATTTGAAGTTCATTTATTATTTTTATGAAGCTTGTTCATTTGAATACAGTAATCTAATTCTAATAATGTCCAAATCTATTGATTTATTCGCATATTTTCCAATGAAAGAAAAATATTTCTTTAACTTCCAGAGTCCAATGATGTTTTCTACTAATCAAGATGATGTATGTATGATTATGAAGTTTTTGTCGAATTCTCCGGTCGTCCATGTTGCAGCTAATACTCATCCTGCTGTACCATTACCTGCCGTCCTCACTATTTCATCAAACCACAACTTTGCTATTAATAAATGGAATTCTAATTATCAGCGTAAGTATTTCAATGATTTATTTCAAAAGTTAACTGTAAAGTATTTTGTGTTCTTCTTAACATTACTTCTTAGATAAACTTAGTTGTTTTTGCTGGTATGATTTATTCCTTATTTCATATGTAATTCATATTATTAGTCATTTGTAAGGTTTTAGATATTCGTTAAAATTTTCCAGCTCAATCAAATACCAGTAGCTTCTCTTCTGATAAACAAGATCCAAACAACCAACCACAGTTACCACTTGCAATGGATCAATTATTAGGTAAGCTTTATTTCATCCTATTATTCATTGTAGACTACTTTGATTAGTGCTGGAACAATTTATCTTTGGGTGGCTCAAATGGCCATTCAGGTTTTATGAAATCAACAGAATGTTCAATCGTCATATTTCAGGGTACAAGACTTTTGTATTGCAATGTGCATGATATTGGCTATTATGGGCAATGCCAAATATTCTTTTTAATCATTTTTTAAATATTCCTCTATATAAGTCACTTGCTATTTTCATTTCAGTATTACATACCGGCTTATTCCGTCGAACACTTGGTGATAATTTTGATCAAAGGCTACAGGTCACTCAATCCAGTTTTGTAACTACAGCTGATAACAGATTTATCTTTGCCTGTGGTTTCTGGGATAAAAGTTTTAGGTTATTCTATTCAGACTCGGGTATGTGTAATAGTATCTTTGTTGTATACCGGTACTTCTTGATTACTGATGAGCAAATTTATTGACATAATTAATTGGCATGAAATTTATGGGTAGCCCGAGTGTCTATTTCAAAAAGGAAGTGATAAAGTAATTTTTCCTTCTATTTCAGCTAAAATCTTACAAGTTATATTTGGACATTTTGATGTGGTAACAACTGTTGGTAGATCTGAATGTAATGTGAACCAAGATTGTTATATTGCTACTGGTTCGAAAGATTGTACTGTGATGATCTGGATGTTTAATTCTAAGCATCAAGCTATTATGGGTGACAATGGAAGTAAGTATATATGTAAATGTCATCTATGCTGCCAAATCCAGGGTTAAGATTTTGTTTTCAGAACTTAAGATACTAGTATGTCATATAACAACAAACTTGCTGATTAATTTTCCATTAATGTAATTTGCTGTTTGCTTTTGCCTTTTGATGTGGCAGAAATAAGAAACATCCCCATTTCCATTTTTTAAATTTTATTTTATTTTCAGGCACTGAAAGTCCAACTCCAAGAGCTACATTAACTGGTCATCTCTCTGAAGTAACTTGTGTCAGTTTGTTGGCTGAATTGGGATTAGTCATCAGTGGTTCCAAAGGTAAATACCTAGAATGCTTTCACTCAGAACTATATGCTACCTGAAAAATCCAAGAATTTTTAACTTCTGAAAACAGCAGTTTCACTAATGTTTTTCAATACCTTTTTTCCAGATGGTCCGTGCCTCGTTCATACATTAAATGGTGATTTACTGAGATCTCTTGACCCACCTAAAGTGTGTAGTACACCAAGATTAATAACCATATCACGAGAGGCCTATATATTGGTAAACTTTGACAGTGGTAACATATGTAGCTTCTCTATTAATGGAAAATTGTTACGGTACTTAGACCACAAGGACAACATTAATGTAAGTTTTCTATTCATCCATACATAACTTGTTGGTCCATACTTGATTTTTGTTGCTGGGGCTTTAATTCCTCCTGTTGCTCCATCCTTGATTTTTGTTGCTGGTACTTTTGCTTTTTCATTTCATTCTAATTAAACTTCCGTTCATATTTTATTAGTTTCGTTTCGAATGTTTTATTAGCTAAACTAATAAAATACGAATGGAAGTTAGGTCTAATTTTAATCAGATTGCATTTCATTGTGCCTCTTTTTTTACATTCACAACCAGTATTTGATCTCCTTATGTGACACATCACATCTCATTATTTCATGCAAATATAAAATTGGTGCTTCCTCTCAGTTTTCTTGTTGTTTTTTACAGAGTATGATTCTTAACAGAGATGGTCAATACATTATGTTAGGTGGAGATGGTGGTATAGTGGAGGTGTGGCGATCACATGACTTCACATTATTATATTCTTATCCAACCTGTGATAGTAGTATTCGTTCCCTTGCTTTAACTCACGACCAAAAGTAAGTATTGATGTAGAAATCTATGTCTTGTTGATGGCATTGATCACATCTTCGGAACTGTGGGTGCGAAGTCTTTAATATTCACATTTTTTCCTTGCAAAAATAAAATGTGTTATTAGCTGTACTCTTCAAAGATCTCTCTATAGCTGAAGATTGGAAAAATTTCTTTTAATGCATTCTGCATGACATTGCCTATCTTTGTTACTCATATAAGGGACATAAAATCAGTGCTCAGTTATATGAGAGACTTATTTCTATTTCAGGTTCCTTATAGCTGGTTTAGCAACAGGATGTTTGATAGTGTTTAATATAGACTTTAATAAGTGGCATCATGAATACCAAGATCGCTATACATAAAGAATGTAACAATTAGGACTACATCTTAATATTGCTCATGTCAACTTAATTATAGCACTGCATATTGTGATATTTATGTTAAAAACCTAAATCAAAAATATAAATGAACAAATAATAGATTGAACTTCCAATTGTATAAAAAAAAAAGAAGCTAAATCACAATGTTACTCTTATAAAAGAACCAGTCTTTGGATGGTAATATTTAAAGTATCATGCAAAAAACAACATTAATAACATCACCTGAAAAGTTTTAAAAAAATGCAAGTGCATTCAACTAGCTAGAATTTATTAAGAATGTGGATAGTGTAAATGAGTTTTTCCTAGTTTAGCGCATTTAATGTGTCGATGTAGAATAAAAGTCTATTTTTCATAAAGAAATGAGTATTTTTCTCAGTGTGAATTTCATTTCTACAGACTGGACTATATGATAATTTGTTTGTTATATACATATCATATCTATTTGATATAGTGATTGCTTCTTATTGCAGAATTTCAAGTTTCCTATTTAATCTTAAAAAATTTAAACAATTTCTTATACAAAATTAATTTGGTATGGTCATTAATTTGAAGACCTGATTTTGTATACTTGATCTCGTAACTATGAAAATCAAAAAAAAAAAATTGCAAATTCATTTAAATGACAAAACCTTGGCAATGATTGGTATGGAAATACAGTTGAGGTTACTAGGATTAAAACTTATGTGAAATTTTCAGATAGCTTGCATTCCAGTCTTATAATTGCTTATGTTGTAGATGTTCACTTTTCTTACTTTATGCAACTTGTTGTTGAAAACAAAATATTGTAAATTAAATTTTATTATCTATATCATGTTAAATTGTTTAATATTTTTTATGTCTTTTTCTTTGTGATAAGATATGTTGTTTATTTATTCTGTGTTATTAGGTTGTGAAGTTGTTGTTTCTTTCTAAATGATTTTATTAATTTAGATAAACACTGAACTTTATTTACTTTCAATACTAATGTGTAATGGCATTCCTTTATAAGATCTTTAACATTTCATATGGTTATCATTCCAATAAAATCCATTCCAGTACAAAAATACCAAAAACAACCTACCTTTCAGTTCTCAGAAAAAAAAATATAGAGATATATGAACTCTATAGTTACTAAGCCTACTCAATTTGACAGGAATTATTTCACATAGGTTAATAAACTTTCTAAGTTCTAATATTAAATATACATGGTGCAGTATACATTTTGGTTGAATCTTTATTATACTTATACAATATCAATATATATTAAATCTATTACAGAATTATATTTATATCATGGGGTCGGATATTTGTTTCATTTTTTGTGTGTTTGTTGTTATTGTTTTTTTTTTATGTTTTGAGTACAGTACTACAATTAGTACAAAGATGTAAATTGATATCACTTTACTTATTATACATATTCATATATTATTATAAATATTAGAGTTTGTTGTCATAATAAAGGGAGAAATTTTATTTTGCCTGTTTTCTGAAATCTGAAGCATAGACATGTATACATACATGTTTAGACCAATAATTAAAAATTTTACTTGTTTACTTTACTTGGGCCTTATATGTCTTACAAGACTTCAACAATGCCAAAAATTACTTACACAACCTCTCGCATATGTAGAGACCAAGTAATTATGAAATGAATTTAGTTTGACATCCTACTTTTCTGCACTATTAGGCTATACACTTGAAACCTCAAATCTTATATGTTAACCTATTGAACCCGAAGACATTTTTAATTAAAGCTTGGGATTGAAAATATCATTTTGAAAATTTATGACAGAAAAAAGAAATCAAAACTGAACTCACTATGTCGAAGAGTTAACATATTCGTGCATATAAGGATTCAACACCGAATTTCGTCAAAACTAAAAAACAGAAAGAAAAATGTTTATGTCTTAGATGTTTATAAAATAATTAAAATTGGTTAGTTTCGATTTTCTTTAGGAATCCCTCACTTTGACGCATATTTCATGAGTAACCAACGCGACAATGGCTGCTAAAAAAAGCAGTGACTGACAAAATAAGATAAGTAAAATAGGCTAATAGTGATTTATTGCTAAAAGTCATTGAAACAACACAAGAATATGGCCCACATTGTGTTCCATAGAATTTTTCTGCTGACATGGAATTCGCTAGTTTATCACGTGACTTCGTTCACTGGAATATATTCTAGCAGACGACACTTGGAATTCCATGATCAGAACGAGTTTGGAAGAATGAAGGAGATCGAGTAACTCACGCCACACCATCCAGGGCCGAGTTTCACCGCCATGTCATTCGACCCGACCAGATCTAACGAAGAATCAACAACCAATTCCGATTAGAGATGAAATCCGGCCGATAAAAAATTGCAATATTTGGTAATAACTGAAATCCGCCATTTTGTATGTGTTACAAATAAATAATTAATAAATCTGACGTGGCATTGAAACAACAAGAAAAATTCTGCAGGTTGATTTCGTAGAGTTAACCCATGTTTATCAATACAAGCAAATGTGGAGGTCACGCATGTGAATTATTAATCATTTCCGGAGATGCACGAAAAATGAATGTATGACCGGTCGGACCATTACCGTGTCGGACCATTACTGGTTCGGACCTAAAAAAAAATGTTTATAACCAACTCGGACCAATGATATTTTTCTCACTACCGACTCGGACCAAGGTTTTTTTTCTCACTACCGACTCGGCCCACTAGACTTGGACCAATACCTTAGTGACTCGAAGTAATATTTACGACGGACTCGGATCACATTTTTTATAAATTTGGACCAATACCTTACCGACTCAGACCACTTTTGTAAACAAATTGAAAGTAAAATGGTAAGGACAACTCTCACTAGGACTCAGAACAATGTTAAAAGACAATGCATATGGCGGCCATTATAATAACCGTGTTTTATATATATTAAACTTTATTTTCAAAAAAATATATTAGACTCATTCACACTCTTTTGAGAGAGTTTGGTGGCCCTGAAAAGGGCCGTTTAGATGTCCCTGAAAAGGGCCGTTTAATTACTTTACTTAACTTTGAACTGTTGAATACAAATCGTCTAACCCTTTAACTAATCTCATTGAACAATTCACATCAAAGTGATAATTAATACCTAATGATTGGTTGAGTATTGTTAATTAAGACTTGGTCCGATTAAAATAAAAAATAGTGGGCCGAATCGGTATATGTCCGACACAGTAACGATCCGAGTTGGTAGTGTAATGAGTGGGTCGAAACGGTAACGGTTAGCACGAAATTAGACTACTTGACTGTAGTGATTTTGAAATTCATTTCTGACCAATTCGGACCGTTGTTTATATTGCGTACATCCTGGACCATAGCTTTATATATTAAAACTTATAATTATATGTATTAATTGCCTACATAATAGGCAAAGGCAATGCAAGAAAGTCCAAGCAATGTAGAATTTCCCGCCAAGTAATCAAGGGGACATCACTCTAAAATCATCTGAATGCAACGCTCGTGACTGGTCATGTGATAGAAGCAAAGCAAAACAAAACTGGTGAACAGGAAGCCGGCTTAAACGAAAGAGTTAAGATTTGGCCAGTTACTAGTAAGGTGTATATGAAATAGAATGGGAAATTTGAAAATCAAGATAGTTCTAGCATGTCTGTGTATTTTTACACTAGCCACTGCTGACATTTTGAAATATCTTCCGAAAGATGAATTGAAAAAGATAGATGATGCTATTGGTATCAATGGAGATATATCTGGATTTCTGAAATCTTTATTGAACCCGTCCCGTTTTAAGAAAGTTGATGCTCACCCTCCCAAAGAGAGCGTTATATATTCAGGAAAGGTAAGATATTGACATTGTAGTGTACAGTCTTAATTGAATTTTTACAATCATTTTCGTATGAATTGAAATATCATTTACAAAATACTACTCAAAATATTAATTGTAAAAATGATTTTATAGAGGAGAATTTTCAGTCCAAAAGTGGGACATTTTCACGTGAATTTCCTGGGAGGGAAGTTTGTCTATTTCAAATGTAAAATCACTGGACCTTATATTTCTATGAACCTGAAGTCCTAGCAGAAAAATGCCTAAAACCGGATTAAAATTCAGATACCGGGTACCATAGTTCATAGGTACAAAATACTACTCAAAATATTAATTGTAAAAATGATTTTATAGAGGAGAATTTTCAGTCCAAAAGTGGGACATTTTCACGTGAATTTCCTGGGAGGGAAGTTTGTCTATTTCAAATGTAAAATCACTGAACCTTATATTTCTATGAACCTTAAGTCCTAGCAGAAAAATGCCTAAAACCGGATTAAAATTCAGATACCATAGTTCATAGGTAAAGAATCAGTTTACACTCATATTCATAGTGTTTTATTTGATGCTAATTTACTTAACCTTTTTACAGATAAGGACGAGTTTTGGACAGGTTGGCCATTTCTCCCTAAAGAATTGTGGTGATAAATCAAAGGAGGTCTTTTCCTTGACATATCTGAGTATTACTCCAGATCCTTTGGTTTTTCCTGGTCAACTGACTGTTAGTTTCACAGGAACTGCTCACAAGAATATTCAATCACCTGTCAATGTAAGTTATATATTTCATAATAGGATTGTCTACCCTACATAAGATAAATCGGATTAGTAATATATATTCATACATTCTGGTATCCATTTTATTTATAAACTCATTAATCATTGAAAATTTAATAAAAATAATGACAAGGATGACTTTAAGCATCATATTTTTATACGCCCACATCTCTCTATGTGAACGTATATTGTCTGAACCCCTGTCTGTCCGTCCGTCAACATTTGCTTGTAAACGCTCTAAAAACTAGATTTTTTGATGGAATCAAATGAAATTCGGTATGTGTATACATATTCATAAAACGAAGATCAAATTCGAATTTGAGCTAGAAGCAGAGTTATTGCCCTTGCCCCAAAATCTTGAATATTTACCATCCACATGCCGTGGTGGGCGTATATGGCTGTGGTCCACTCATCTTTTACATTGTCATCAATTTATTGAAAATTGTATGTAATCTTGTTAACATGTAGGAACTATTTTAACTAAAACAATGTGAAAGATTGTCTAAATCTTCCTTATCATTAAAGGGCGTTAATCTATGATAAATTTAACAATATTCTTTCACAGAGTTAAAGAATTATAGTATTTTTTAGTGTTTAATATGTATAGCATGTCTTGATTTGTTTTGTCATATGATATCATTGGATGTCTTTACACATAAAGTTTAATTTAATCATAAATTTGTAGAAAATTGTAGGATATCCTGTTGATTAGAAGGAACTATTTAAAGTGAATCTAAGTCTAATTCTTCCTTAAAATCATATCTTATTAATCTATGATAAATTTTGCTAATTATGATGGGCGGCAACAGCAGTTTTAACCCTGATCATATTCAAATGTAAATTAAGTGAGATTGACCATTTAGATGGGTCACTGCATGCTAATTATCAATTTGTTTTTGCATTATTTAATCTCTTTTTCCATAAATTAGGCATAGTTGCCAACTCCTTTTAACATTCTTTTTCATGAGATTTGAACGATATTTAGAAGCAGAAAGCAAATGTAACAAAAACACAAGGGAATATATTATGGTCTAACACACTACTCTAATAAAAAAGTATAATATACTTATTATAGTACTTATTATGCATATTACATATTTTTTTATTGTACTTAAAGGGGTAACAGCAGTTTTAATATCACTGCGCATCATTAATTCTATTTAGACATTTTATTTTGACAAATTTCATTTCTTTGATCATAAAAGGGGTATAGATGCCAACAATCTATTTCATTTCATTGAAAAGAGTATAGTCATTTACATATTTGCTTTGCTTTTTATGCTTTTCAACATTGAAATTCCATATCAAATCACCCTGCAATTCATCAAAAACACACTGTCCTAGTTTGGACAAGCATCACTTCCAAGTTCTTAACATTTTCAAATAAAGTTATAAGTAATATTAGAATGATATCATTGGTAATAAATAATTATATAATGTAATTCATCTCTATTGGTCAGTTCAGCAGATATTCAAATGAACATGTCTCTTTAAACATTATGGTAATTGATCCCTAGATATGTTGTATGAAAGGTCAATTAGAGAAGAGATGAGGTCATGAGTATACTTTGCTAAAATTTCTCATGTGTATAAGGTACAATTCAGAGATTGACATGTAATTAATATAAGGAAATATTTAAAACTTTCCCCTAGTTCTAGTATTTATTTAAGTTATTCAAGTTACTCAAGTCATTTTCCGGTTTTGCAATATGCATGTGTAAATATCATGTAACAATATAGTGTTTGATTCAAATAATTTATTCATCTATTCAAAGCCCCATTTTTGTTGGAGATTAAACCCTAAAAAGACTACTTAATAACAAAATTCCAAAAGGTAAATATATGTATATACATGAATATGAATTGTGAAATGTCTTGAGTATAGACAAATATAAATATCAATTAAAAAGTCCAATATTGCCAGATAATACATATAAACATCTATAAGACATATTTTTCCACTTTCAGGCAAATGTGACACTGAAGAACTCTAAAACTGGTGTATATCCATGTGTAGCTAATATTGGCTCCTGTGATTATAATGATTTATGTGCCATGTTAGAGCTGATCCAAGTGTGTCCCCCACCTCTTACATCTGCTGGTATCCCCTGTAAATGTCCCATTAATGAAGTAAGTTTGTATATCCTATTAAATCCTGTCAGAAGTGATAATATTGGTTAAGATTTTTTTCGTATTATAGCTACCTCATGACCCATTTTAGGATGTGTAAAGATTAACAGTTTAAGTATCAGTGTTGGCCAGAAATAATATTTTATATTGCCTTACTTGCTGGGATTTGACAACAGCATAACAGCATTCTTTTATAGCAAATTCCTTAAAGTTATATTAACAAGAAAATCCAGATGCAATATGACTGGATTAGCAGCTACAGTCCATATATTACTTCATTTGTTTGAACGTCCTGGACAAGTACGCTAGTTATGTCTCAGACTTTTTCATCAACAACATTTAAAGTTGTTTAGCTTGGAATCATTTTATATATATTTACTTTATATGTTTACTTTTAGAAAATGAACCTTGACATGTGATATTTGTCAACATCATTAATTATGGTCTAATTATGGAATGTTTTTTAGGGTAACTATAAATTAAAAGAGGCTTCCTTTGATGTTGAAGCAGTAGTATTACCACCTGGCGATTATATGGCTCAAGCAAATATGACTTCTGGAACTGATTTGATTGGTTGCTATCAAGTTTATGTCTCTTTTGCATGTAAGTATTCTTTAAAAAATCCTCAATTAATAATGACCCAGAAGGTCAAGACTAAGTAACTATTCTCTCTATATGGAAGATGACGCAGCAATAAAAAAAAATCGCATTTACAACTTACAATTAGCTGAAGATGCTGTTATTTTTATATAGTGTTTAAAAGATGGAATTTGGCTTAATAATGTGTTTGTTAATACAACAACAGCCAAGGATAGTTTGTTGAACCCAGTATTTGATGCATTCAATATTTTAGTGATCATGATAAAGATTTCATCAGAACATGGATTTGCAGATAAATTTTCATTTCATTGAGATGGAAAATTGGTTGTTATCAGAATTTTGGAAGTTTCATATCTTTATATTTTGTCTATTTATTTTTCAGAATATTTCGTCCAGTGCTCAAATACATTCCTAAACAGGGTTAGACGTGTTCACTAACATCATCATATTCAATTACAAACGAACATTAAATAATTTTTATAAATTGCACTCTAGTTGTAATTTTTTTGTTGTAAATAATCAGGACATTTACCTTGGAATTCAATATATTTCAATTTTTGCTTTAATTTCTACCCTTTCTCATATTTTTCTTGAAACATTTGCTTTTCTTTTCAATCTTGATCTTGATGCAACATGCTTCCCTCCTTTACATTTACTATATTTTTAGATGTTTGTGCATTTTGTAATAAAATACTCCAATAAATTTAATTGCTTATGTTTCATGACTAGTGTAGTGGGACTGAGTTTTGCATAGCAAATGAGTTGGAAATATGACTCTTGCATGCAAATTCATTATTCTGTGTGGACTTAAGCTTAAGCTTAATGGTACCCTAAGATTCTGCGAATTAGTTTCTTTGTTCATAGGACAATCAATAAGGCAACTGACCAAGGCCTGGTGCTCAACAATATGTGTAATAATGAATATGAATTTATTGAGAAAAACACAAGAAATGTGCTGCCTGTAGGTCTACAATAGCTTTGACCTATTATGCTTGACAATCCTTATTTTCTGTAAAGGGGAAATATACTTAAAACAAATAAATAGTTCTCCAAGTGCAACATAAAATCAGTGCATTCTAGCAACAATATTTAGATTTGTTTAAGAGTTATTCCCCCTTAGTCTCCCACTACATTTAGCACTAATGAAAGATGACAAGACCACAAAAATGATTATAGTTGTGAGGTCACAAATCTTGATGTGGTAAAATAATTTTCCTAGGAATCGTTATCTTATCTCTTTGGCAGACAATTTAGTTGAGGAACTATTACTTTTGCTTTCTATTCTGGTATGTAAATTAGTTAAGTAAAGACAATATTTGCAGTTTCATGGATGAACCTTTATAAATTTACAAGAGTCGTATCATGTCATAAGATGGTAAGAACATGCACATCTATGCCTATGCTCTCGGGAAATATTTTACCAAATCAAATTTTGCTGCCAATACACAACAAGATATATATACAATTTAACATGTTCAATAACAAAATGTAAATCTACTAACACAATCATATATCACAAAACGTTATTGTGGAAATACAGTACAGATAATATATATATGTGTATCATACAATTCTCACTAATTTATAAATAATTTCATTTTAAAATAACACTTTTATTCATCATATAAACATATCTAATACTAAAGCCAATGTGATAGTCTGTCGGTATTAAGACCAGTCCATTGCCAAGTCAACTGAGTTTGACTTTATCCAACCTTGTTGATTTCAAGCTCACAAGTTCCCGCTTAGATATGTTCATATGATAAAAATTTTAAAAATAAATATTCAAAAACAAAACATTGTCATACAACCGAAATCATTTTACAATATAACATTAATCAAACATAATAAATGCTCATTTTATTCATTAACAAACAGATTACCATTTCATTCACCTGTGGTATATCTTTACTATTTTAAATTACTATTTCGTATTGTTTTTATTTTCTATAACAAAAAGATACAAAATTGTGATCTAATTAAGCTGTACAATTTACCAAATTCTGAATTTGTCATTTAAAAGTTTCCTTTGTTATTACTGCTGGAACATAGAATTCGGTCAAGTTGAATGAAATAACTTTACTAATTCAATTCAATCAAATAGCATACAAGACTATGAAATACAAATAATTTTGAAAGATTGAAATCTGAAGGTAGGAAAACTGTTTAGTTGATAGTGGGCCATTATTTTCCTAGTGATAGGAATAAAAATCAGATTGAACATAGGCTTAGCAAAACTTCTTCAAGTCTCAATTAGTCTTTATGATATGCAACACAAAACAAATAACCAAAATGATATGTTATCAAAAAATCTAAAATGAGGGCAGTTTGAACAAAAGGACATGATGATTGAAAATATTTGAGAATTTACAAAATGATGTTACAAAATGAAATTCCAAAATTTATATAAAACTTTATAAATTGATGAGACAATTTAAACCGAAAGAGAAAGCAAACAGCAAAAATTAGCTGCATACAAATTATTATTTAATTGAGACAAACTTAGATGCTGCCTCAAAAATAATTACAAGCCCAAAGTCATTCTCTGTGTATTTCTAAGCCTTCTTTATTCTTGTCTTTAGACAGGTTCATAATATAGGGTACTTTCTTCTAAACGAAGTTGCTCTTATTTTCCTTACAGAGCACAATACAGATACAAGATGAAGTTTTCATCGAAAAGTGACATTTATATAAACAAAACTTAAAAAGTAATCTCAATGCAATTAAAAATAGGGTGTTTTTCCTCATTTCAAGTAGCGTTGCATTTGCCTCACCATGTCAAGACTATAGCATATATTGTTACAAGACAATTATATAGATGAAGACCGAAAAAGAAATAATCCACACAAAATCTCTTTAATTTTGCAGCTTTGTCAGTCAATTTCCTCAAAACAATTCAAAATCATTTCCTATTCAGCTTGGAACATCCTGATTTTCAATGGAGACAGGCCACGCAATGTATAATTAGGAGAAGAATTTCCATTTGCGATTGCCAAGAGGCTACAAAATGTGACTCCTACTCCAAGTCAACTACTAAACACTGAATAATTTAAGATTAGTATTTACAATATGCTTTATACCGGTAATATACCCACTCTATAGTTCAGAGTCAGAATATGCTATTTTCTGTCTTTCTCCAATACTGGCAGTCGAAACATAATACTCATATATAGTCTTGTCATCACTGGTGGTCAAACACAATCCAAATTAATTCACCTGTTGGTTTGACTATAACAATTACACTACACTAAAATAGTCCACTAGTTTTAGAATTAAAAGGGTATATTGCCACATTTTCAAAACAAAAGCATCGCTAGCTACTTGCACAATTATAATATAGATAATGGATTTCTGAGAATTTCTAAGTATAACTGAGAATGATTTAAGTTTGCAGACATCACTAAAGTATATTTTACACGTCTGTTTCCAATTCTAATTTCCCCACCACTTCATCATCTCCATTTTGTTTTTGTTTCATTGGACTGTCAAAGACTTCTGAGTCAGAAATATAGGCAGCAGAATCTGAATTATTGGAGACCATAGAGTCCTCAAGAGCAGCAACACCAAGTTCATTTAGTGAGACAGAGACAGAAAGATCCAAATCAGTTGCATCAGAAGGCGGTATATCCACTGGCACCTGGCTGCCTTCTGACTCCAAGGATGTTGACATTGGTGATCCATTTGGAATTTTACTTGGAGACAGGTGATGTGGACTTGTTGAAGTCGAACTCTTTTTTTCCAAAACGAAAGTTTGTGAACGACGATTGAGTTTCCTTTCCAATGATTCGTCAGTTTGTGATTTGCGGTCACCATTAGATTTACGTGATCGTCTAGGTGATGGTTGGTCCCCATTTCCATTATCGAAAGGAGATTTAGCTTTTCTTCTCAGATCAGGAGAACTACATTCACTTCCTGGTGGAGAACGACTTATCTGACGTTTAAATAAACTCTCCTGACTGGTGGTCATGATTTCTGGTGAAGCAGCCATTTTGTACATGAGCTCTTCATAATCCATAGATAAACGTTTATTGGCCTTCGATTCCTTAGCGTATTTACTCATCAATATCTGAACCTTATCATGAAGTTGTCTGAAATCGAAAATTTTGTACAAATGACTCATGTTCTTGTTTCAAGTACTTAGGCAGTGTTTATTCAGTGAAAGGTCATAGAGAGTGTAATTAGTGAAATGTTTGATAGCTTGATTGCATCACTAGAACGGTTTGAGCTCCTCTGACATACATGACTAACAAGAAAGACTACAAAACCCAACAGGATCTCAAGCCTATTTTTCAAAAAATTGTTTTTCTACTTACTTTTCATGTCCACTCTTCAAGTTAACTATTGCATCAAGGTTTTCAATTTTCTGTTGAAGGGAAATAATCTTCTCTCTAGCTATGGGTAATTCATCAAGCTGCAATAATAATATATACATTTTAATCATATGTCTTAATATGTTATTTTTAATATCATGGTTTCCTTTGAAGAGTTTAAACTGTTGGAATTATGGTATGTAACTAATGTTAGTTGGAAATAGGAAGGTATTTTCTCAGGCCTGTGAATATAATCCTCCAGTGATCCTTGCATTGTATGATTTTGGATTCTGCTATTTAGATGTGATAAGGCATATAAGGTAACATAGTTTGAGTCATACCTGTTTTTCTAAATCCATCTTTTGTTTTCGAAGTTTGAGAATTTCTTCATTTCTCATCTCAACTACAGCTTTCAGACTGTCAACTTCTTCAGGGAGGTGTTTATAGGGTGCTAGAGCCATCTGTACTCGAACATCTGTATCACGTAGCAATGCATCTTCACTTTGTTTCGCCCGATATTTTAATTCTTCACATTCTCCTCTTAAGCATTCAACTTTCTCCTGTTAAAAAATGAAATCAGTATTTTAGGATTCATAAAAGACAATTTTTGAAAACAATTCAAATTTTTGTAACACTTTGTTTGTTTAAAAGATGTCAGCAGTTTTAAGAAGAAATTCAAGCAATATAATCTTTTAAAATGTGAAATTGAAAATGTGTTGATACATGTAATTAACCAGCAGGAATCAAAAATGCACTAATGTTGACACTGAACGGGGCAGAGTTTGGAAGCTTTTAGAGATACAACTATACTGTATAGAAACAGTATTAAAAAGCTTACTAACCCCAAGTGTACATTTGATATATTCAAAACTTTTGTTGATATCATCCAACTTATTACGATGTTGACGATGTAATTCTGAAATTAGAAAATATATCTATACTTGCTTGCTATATCAATACATATCATTCTGAGTATGGTCAAATCTATATCAAATTAAAGCGTGTGTTCAGACATTCCACTCAAACAACCCTGATTTTCCTGATATTTGTCAAAAAAATAATAACTGAAATAAATTTTTCTCACATTATATAATAAGCCATTTATATTCAACAAACTGTCCTCAAAATCAGAATGAGTCTGCACAATGAATCCTAATGGAAACAAATAATATCAACAAGCTTTCTTAGGTTACACAAGATACTTTGAGCTGATCCAAACCTGCACTCACAAATTAATTTTTAAAAGTATACATTTTGTTTACAACAGTTATTCACCTTTCACATTATCCAATATATTCCATAAACAACTAGACTTAGTAGTTTCCATTTTTAAAATTTCAGTCACAATATATCATACAGAAATGTTAATTATCTTGCTAAATTATTTACTGTCTGGAGTACAGTGCTAATTGTCCATATACAATGAAGCAAACGTTAAGTTGTCATCTACCATCCACAAGACACAATCAATAGAAATTTCATTTCATCGAGTACATCAATCCATGTTGATTTTAAATCATTTATCACCACACTTATCTCAAAATTTTGCAAAATCCATAAACTGAACTTCATTTTTGTCCACTATTTGTATTCTTTATGATTAAGTCTGGTGATTTGCGACTATATTGACATACATATTATGTACTTGGTTAGTAGAGGAGAAGTCTTTAACAAACAGAATGAAACCCTTGAGTGACAATAGAACACCCTGGTGTAACCCTGGTTCACACTGGTCTCAATCAGATCATGTTTCTATGTCACATTTTGTAAGAATTCACAAATTATTTCAAAATTAATAAAACCAGCAAGAGTCCATTCACAGTAGTCCACCAAATTAAAGACCATTTTACATACATTGTTTCCAAAAACAATTTAAGGAATTCTTTGAATTTTTTTTAGCCAATTTGAACACATTAAAATATCCAAATAATCCAGCATGTAATGTATTAAATGAATTGGCAGAGGTGATAAGAAAGGGTTCTATAGAGAAACTGGCCTTGGTTACAAAAAAAGTACAACTGGTCTTACACATACAGAAAATTAACAGACAGATGGCTACAAATCTTGATAAAAACAATAAAATCTAACCTTCCATTTGTCTATCATGTTTGTTTCTGAGTTCCTGAATGTCTTCAAGATGTTTAACTTTCAGCATATCTTCTCTGCTCTGGGACTCGAACTTTTGATCCGAAAGCTAAAGAGATAATTTCATTGTTGAATCAGATTATAAATGACATTTTATTTCAATATTGTCGCTGTGTCTTGATAAAATCTCTCAATTAGCACACTGCGTTTTACTGCCATTCTTGGACAGCACACTCAAGAAAATTTTAGTTGATTTTATTTGAATCTGTTCAATGATTTAAGAAAATAATTTCTTCATCACACATTTTGAATACCAAAATACAAACCTCTCTTTCGCTTTGTACTTTCATAAAATGGTGCATCTTTTCATGACTGTCTCTCACTGAAAATGGAACAATATTTAATTTCATTTTTACTCTTTGAGAGTAAATAACACTTTAAGAGTCAAAAATTATCAGTAAGTGACATTGTACTTTTCTGTTAAAGGTATCAAGCTTATATGGCCATCATACCTCTTTCAATTTTAAAGATGGCCAGATGGAACTCTTTACCTACCAAATTTTGATTTCAAAATGACAAACATCCAAATCTTACTTTTTGCTGTTGAAGCTGTATGGTTCTTCTCTAATTTTTCAGTTTCTTCTTTCAGTTTTTTTTCATGTTGTTCTTTCAGTTCTTTGACTGCTGTTTCATGGGCCTCTGTAGCTGCCACCATGTCTGATTTTAATTTGGTAATTTCTGCCAAACTTTCTTCCTGTTGTTTTGTTATTTCTGATAGTTTCTCCTCTAAGTCTCTTTTAACTTTTTGAAGCTCGGCTAATAAAAAAATCAAAAAATTATTTTAAACAACGGAAAATTCAGGGATATAGAATGAGAACATTAAAGGTTTTTTTTTTAAACAAAACCTTATAGTTATATGAGTGATATGAATAATAATCAAGTAATATACATAAAGATATTTACCAATTTGTTCCTGAGCTTGTTTTTGCAATTCTTGAGCCTGAGCAAGATCAGTTTTAACTTTTGGACAGGAAAAGGCATCAAGCTGAAAATATTCAGTTTATGTCAGCATTAAGTGCAACATGTAAATATTGCATGAATTCTGAGAAACCATTCCTTTCATAATAGAGTCTTGACACAGAGACAAAAAATAGCAAAATTTCACAAACAAAAAGGACATCCACCTTCCAAAGCTTCTGACACCAAACCAATTTAGAGAGATTCACATTTGAATTTGCTATTCAAAACATATATATTATTTTAGTGTTTTAGTTGGCAGACAAACTTGCAGAAAATTCACAACAATTAAGAATAGCATCTTACCTCCTCTGTAAGGTATCTAATAAGACAAGCCAGAGCATCTAAAGCTTTCTCTGTTGATTTCAACTCAATCTTCACGAGATTCAGCTCTTTAGTTCTGGTCTCACATAATGATTCCAATCTAGTAACTTCCTGCGAGCGATTGGATTTAATAGAATTAGAAACAATATCTGGTTGTTGTGAGGATGAAGATTTCCCATATCCACTACTTCTTGTTGGAGTGGAGTTCAGAGCTCGGTTACGATTCTGATCTGAAATTATAAACAAATTGACTTTGATATTATGTAAATTTAAGCACCATCAAATTCACATTCAAATTTCAAAATAAAAACATGGCTAGATAAGTTTAGGTAGAGACATAGGGGTAGTTTAGGTGTAAAGTTTACCACTTGTCAGTATACAGAATTTCTGGTTTGAAATGTTCATGGATGTGTGCAAATTTTGAACGATTAACATCCTTATCATTATGATTGAAGGGATTATGTAAACTGTTTAAAACATGGCATTCAGGAGAGGCATAGCATTATATTTGACAATTGTTTCACTTCATAGATGATATTACAAGCTTGAAAGTTATAGCAGTTTATTAAACTACGCAGCAAATTAATTGGTTAGTCAAATATGAAACAGCTGAAAATAAAGTTATCATTGGTTAGTTGATTAGCAAACACAAATTCAAAACAGTTATTCAAAACATGGTGATAAAATCATGCATTACATATTCATATACATTAATTAATTAATAAAAATTTCTATTGTTGACAATATAACATGCAATCATTTTATCACAACTAGATACATATCAAATAAAATATTTCTTTATGTGTTCTTCATTCAGTTGTTATTACTTGGTATGTAAATTCATCATTATTTACTGGTATCGCTATGAGTTTAAATCATATACATGTATGGAAAAATATAGGTATATGATTTTTATCATAATTCAAAACTATTCTCTTTTAATTACTTATTTTTTCAAGAGAAACTTTCCGATATAGATCATCTGACCAGACGAACTACATAGGAAAAATGATGGAACTTTTATGATCACTTTCAGGACTTGTAAAATTCAAAAGTATTAAAATAAATATTAATGACATAAAATAGTATCATTCTCAAGCCACACCTTGAAATGATATACTTGTATATTTATATTTCTATAACATCCCATGGTAATTATCATTGAGACAATCTGAGTTCCAACAGTTGCAGGAATTCTTGGTAATGTTCCATCATAAATATCAAAATCACCATTATATTATTATTAGAGACCTATAGTGTAATGATAATAGTCTACCTAGATTGATTCATAGACAAATATCAACACACCTTTAATAGATAGATTCTTGACTCTAGAGCAAATTAATAACTATAAAGTGTTCAATGAGAGAACTTTTTGAAATTCCATGTCAACTCAGATGATAGAACACAGATTTTCATCCAACTTTAAGCATCTTGAAACAGCAGCAGAGAAATAAACATGTTACAAGAAAGCACCTTAGTCAGAAAGCAACAATATAACCTCAAAACTAACAAAAATATTAATTGTCAAGAGACTGTAACTTTCTCAGTATAATTAGTAATATATATTTAAATAACCTAAAATATTATCTAAACAAACCCTGCTTCAAACCTAAAATTATTAAGAAATTTGAGAACACCTTTAGCAATTAATCATCAGAAGATTTCTTTTATTTCAACAGGATAGAAATGCAATCATTGAAGCAACATGAGCTCTGTGGGAATTTTATATCGATCCCTGAATAACACTTAAATGATGCATACAAAAGCCTCCATTTACATTTGAACACTCAAATGTTCCTTATTAGAGTCAACAGGAAAACTAAGATGCAGAAGGTTTGTATTAACATATGTACCCTTGGAAAATTAGTAAAGCAAAATTTTACAGAATAGTAAACCAAAGATATGTAATTAAGGAACAATCAAGTTCGAATTAATTACATATATACTATATATCAGCCATGGGTCAGAACATCATATAATAATAGGTATTAAAATTTACTGCTTCAGATATTTCAATAGTAACTTATCTTATTACCAGCTGTATTTACAACATTTTACAAGATATAATATATCTTATACACAATAATTGAGCTATTTTTCTGAGTTACAAATTTATTTAGTGATAATCGAAATAACAAATATCTTTCAAGATAAAACTGATTGAACCAAATATCCTTAAAATAATATACCATTATCTTAATAAATAAAATTATTTTAAGATTATTATATTTATATGAAAAGAATGAATCAAGCAATTTCTATGTTAGAATACTTGATTTAAATGCTTCATCAAAAACACAAACGATTCAGTCACTAACAAATAATCTTTCTTGATAAAACATAAAATATAGTAGTACCCCTTATTCTTCAATAAGATGACCTTAATTGGAACCTAAGCAAATAATGATATTATTTAAATTGACAAATGATATTTGCAAAAATTGGTAGCTATATTTGTGTAAGAAGTCTCTATAAATCTTAATAGGTTTTTAAGGTTCTTAGACAACTCTACTTCATACCTTGAATTTTTAATAATATATTTATGATCTTATCATCATTAAAATTCTTTAACTTACTTCCTGTAGAGAGTATCTATTATGTATTATAATCTAATAACTGGTATAACCAACTTATCAAATATTTTCTTTATAACTAAACTTTCTGGAGTCAAAATAAACAGATCGCAATATAACTTTATAGAGTATAAGAATTGTAATAAATGTATACAGCAATATAAACATGCCATTAAGTTATGTTTTTCTAAAAGTTATGCTATGTCAACTCCAGTGTTCCTGAGCATGCCCAACATTGCCAGTCATACCAGTAGTGGGACTTTTCCAATAAGGAAAAGATCATTGCAATCCTGCAGTAAAAAGGTTTGTTAGGATCTTTGTTAAACATAGATCATTTAACATGTCTGGATATCACTTCGTGTTTATATCTAATAAGTGGTATTCAAATTGTTTGATATGGGAATTGGGAATGCATCAAAAGAGAGCACATGAACATAAAAACTCCAAAGAAAATAAACAGTCAACAGTAAAATGATATATGACATAAAACTCACTGAATCAAAACTATTTTAATTGAATCTATCGAAATGAAAAAGCTCACAATTTTCCTATTACAATGACATAAATACCGAAACATATATTTTTTTAAATTCACTTATAAAAATTCAAAAGATCAAACTTAACATAATATTTCATCAATTACATCTTACAGGTGTCACTGTCACTAGCTATGTATGAAATGTGCACCAGTAAACTCTATAATTGAGGTCTCAATGCTATGAAAAATCTAACAAGAAGTATGCTTTTATTTCACATAGGGCCAATTTTGAGATCCATTCCTGTTTTTGAGAAGTAGTGGAAAACAGACTCACCAATATCATGACAGTCCAAGTGAGCTACACCTGAATATTTTCCAAGACTTGATTGAATTAAAATATCAACATAAGACTTGTTTGACGCTCTGTACATCTTGTTCATGGTATATATGTACTGTTCTGGAAACTGAGGCTCACTATCAGAATCAATTTTGCACAGCTTTTTTGAATCAGAACAATATAAAGACTCAGTTACTCGCACAATTCAATTGTTCCTATTGTCCCTTTCAAAAGATGAAAAAAAAAGACATCTGCCTACCCAGAATGCCCCTGAGGGATAACGTAATGAATAACTGAACTCTAATTGTAACTGAAACTTCAAGGTCAGCAACTTCTATTCAAACATAAACAAAAATAATATTTACATTTTCTTTAATATCAAAACCCCACTTTTAGCTACAACCCTTAAAAACTAAAAGGCAACTCTTTGTGTATTTTACTATAGACTGCTAAACAAAATTCAACTTACAATTTGGGCTTTGAATGAGAGCAACTAACACATACTCCATTTTCCAGATACACAGAAACTTGATGAAAACATGAATGTACCTCAATGAGCACAGGTTTAAAAAAAAAAACAAGAATGGCTTGTCCCGTCTTATCAATATAAAGAAAGCAGTGTACCGTATAAAAGTACAATATTAGTATACTATGAAGTGTTTATAATACCGATATATTTACTATATCATCTTAAAGCTAGCCCCACGCTTTATCAATATTATCAACAAAGTGCTTTCTGATTTTTAATATAAAGTTTAACTACTGGTTGAAAGTCAAGAATGATGTTCTTCTTTCATAGAAAATTCAAAAACATCAGAACTATAGATAATATCATTTTTTTTTTTCAGCTTGAATCTTAAAAAATGCAATACTGGTCTAATATTTTTTTTCTTCAGTTTTCAAATTTCATTTGGGACAACTTCTTATATTTACCAGATAGCAAAGATATCAATCTTCTTACAGATCTAGAAGTAGCAAGTAGTCTATACCTGTTGTACCACAGTGTATGATTCACAGCTTCACCTGTTACCAATTTGTTTTTTTCCTTTCAAATCAAAACTGACAACGACTTCAAGTCTTAATGAATCTATAAATCAGATCTTAATTACCTCCCTTTCTCAAAATTCTACCTATACCTAACAAGCAAATTTTTCTACAACACTCCTTCTGAACTGAACCAGATATTTTATTTTGTCATTATCATACAAGAAATAGATTTACCTTAAACCAAAACCTTCTGAAGACTCTTTTGTTATTTTCTACCTAATGAATTGTGCCATTTCAATTGATTTAATAAAAGCTAAAGGCTGGTCTTTTAGTCTTTAAAAATATTATAGACAATACCATCTGTTTTCTATTGAATGTCATGTAGTATGCAATGAGGGAAATGTTGTCAGGTCAGTGACACCAATCATTTTCCAATATCAACTTTCAAGGAACCTCTTTAATGTGACTGCACTACACTGGATCTTAGCTCCTAGTCCAAGCATCATAAATGGAGCGTATACTCAAAGATCATTTATCAAATTATGAAAGGAAGTGACAGAGAGTGCTGAGAAAGTGAAAAGTCGGCTGACCTAAATGACCCATGTAATATATAAATAGTAAGAATCAGTAATTACTACTCATTCCTTGGCACCAAACCTATACCTATATCTTAGTTTGACAGAAATAGATGCCTCCATTATACCTATCGAGTTGTTGACAACAATGTATATGTGGGAGGAAACCAGACAATATTGTTCACTTTATCAGCAGGCATATTCTATATTTATCTCAACCTTATATTTAGAATTCTGTACACAACTGCCTAAGCAAAATGATATTCAATTCAAATACTTATCACAACACAGTAGCTATGAGAGCAAGTTAAACATACTAAGTAAATGGAGAGCCCCAAATATTAGAATCACACACAATATTAGAAAATAAAACAAAATACAAGGGCAATTCAGGAGTCTAGCAATGAAATCTATTATTGTTCTTGCATTAAGAGGGAGGATTCCATCCAAAACCACCAACTTTGAAATCATCTATGCAACCGAACTCACCTGCATCAGTTTCAAAACTCACAGATCTTTTAAAATCATTTTTCTTGATATCCGCTATCCTTGCTTCACATTTCACAGACTTTGATTCAGATTTTTCAATTTCCTCTTCCAATTTTTCCTCTTTTTCAGTTTTCAACTCCGGTTTTTCTTCCTTTCTCTGACTTTTTTCACTTATCAGTGATCTTCTTCGACTAGCATCACTTCCATAATCTGACTTCCTTCTTGATGAGAAATCAGATTTGTCTGTACTATATTCACTCTTTCTACGGCTTGTTATTTCAGTTCCAAAATCTGACTTTCTCCTACTGAAATCAGTCCTTCCACTTCCATAATCTGACGTTCCCAAACCATAGGTGGAATGTGATCTGTAAGCAGAAGTTCTGGCTAAGGAACTTGTTGAAGGACCACTGGAATAGGATGAATTATAAGTTGAAGAATAAGAGGAGTAAGCAGACGGCCGTGAACTTGTATAAGAAGAGCGATAGTTGCTGCTATATCCACTGTAACCTCCGTAACTCATCTTGAAATTTGATCACAAATTCAAAGATCATAAAAAAAACCCTGGAATGAAATTTTGTTCTGAACTGAAAATCCATTCACATTTCAAACTCTTCCAAAACTTCACAAGACAGGTTAGCTAAAAACAAGACTAGAGATATACTGATAATGTTTATTAACTTATCACTACCTATACCAACACTTGAAAATCACCATAAATTTCATTTTATCAGTATGCAAATAGAATGTTAAATATCTTCAATTCATATTAAAAATTCTTCTCCTATGGTGCAAATATTTTTCAATGATAAGCATGTTATTTGATTCTAACAAAATGATCAACCCTAGAAGTTGACTATATCATGATGAGAATATCCCAAAATTTGTGGTCAGAGTTTCACTTCACCAACAGCAACAACCAACACAACCAATTAATTTCACTTTGAGGATATTTTTTCGAAGTCATAAGGCATCCACTGTAACTGGTTCACAAAATCATTCAGGAAGAAAAATTACTTATCCAGAGAACTCCTCTGCAGAATCAATGTTGATGGTACAAAACGAAAGAAAGAAGCTTCAGTCTTTAGAGTCAAGAACAACAGTGATCAGTACTCAGCCCAGAAGATATGATCAGAACGGTATTTGTTTGATGTTTTGGTGCCAAGTTGGTTCTCATAAAAACAACCTGTATATGATCTAAAGACCAAAATCAACTCTATATAACTATTGTCTATCAGTACCGATTACATCTTTACTATATCATCTATAGTAGGTGGAGGTATAAACAGTCAGAAAGTTATATCATATTTATACCAGTTAATAAATTGGTACCATACCTTACTACTTATAGCTTGGAGATAAGTACCTGAGGCATATTTTTAATCAAGTTCATCTGCTTTAAACACAAATTTCATAACCTTGGAATCATCAAAGGTAATTTTCTTTCAAACCTCTTCATTACAGAATTTACTTAAAAACATAATTGATCCACAGATTGTGCCATGGGCAACAAAAAATCACAAAGACTTAAAGGAGTCAAGCTGACATCAACATCTCTAGTCAATCCATTTTGCATGAATATTTCTTGGCACCACTCTTCCAGAATTAGATGATTATAGCACTGCTATGCAATCAATCAGAGAAACAATGATTCTTCAGTCTTTAAAGAAACCAGTCAATTTCATAACCACTTCTCTACATCAACATGATAATGCTTCTTTCATTTCAATACCTGAAATTTTTCCAACCACTACGTCTATTTAATCTCTCTTCAAAAATAGATTTTAAAATCTGTTCTTTTCATGATGAAAAACATTGAATTAACTCCAACAACATTCTTGAGTTAGTATAAATAGACAAACGTCCTGAAAATTTGGCAGTCTTTCTATTATTGCTTCATTACATTGACAAATTTATCACTGAGAGAAAGTTTCTGTTGGTTTCCAGAAGTATTCAAACCATCTAAACAAGTTGGGATTGATCGTTAGACCCTACCACAATCAGATCCTTTGGCAAAACGTAATTAAGTGTACTTATTCCAGAATTTTAGAAATGTTATAGTTTTGCTAAGAACTCAGATATGTTCTGTACACAGTAGCAGTCTCTTCATTCAGTTTCTTTCCATATTTCACCAAGTGATATTTCACCTCCTTTTCCCAAGAGCATCAAGAGTGAAATGGCAAACCAATCCTGATCAAGAGGGCATTTAACACATTATATAAGAAATGTCTTACGACCACTTCTGACATTTCAGATTTTCCAAATGATTTGCTTGATATTAACGCACAATTAAATCTGAACAATTTACATAATCCCATAGATTAAGGGAGATTAACTAATCAGTCTGTATCAAATGCACCAGATGACTGTGTCAGAGTCTACTTTCTGGTTTGGTGAAAAATGACAGCCAAGTGGAAACATGTTAGGAACAATCCAGTTAATATATCTCAATATACTTAATAATACACAATTTGCAAAACTTCATTATTACATAAAGTTACAGCTCATTTTAACACATGAGCTTCTTAGCTTCCTATTGAACTCCAACCAGGAGGATAATCCACAAAATTACACACAATTATCCAAATTCAGTAGAGATTAAGAGAACAGATAATCTTAATCCTAATTTCTCCTTGATCAAAGTGACCTGGGGTATTTTAGGTCGTTCGACTCCAGGTTTGTATCAAATGATTCCAAATTAGTAAAGATGATGTCCATAATTCTTACTCGAAAAAAATGGGTTTATATTTCCAACAATTTAACAAAACTACATCCACACAGACTACAGTTAGCAAGAACAACCACCAAAATATGACTGCCAACTCCTATGACATCTGAAGCTTATGTCATTCTGATCTAGTCTACAATCAGATTACAACAACATGAACTACCAGTCTTTTTAAGTTGATATTTCTCTTCAAAACATTAGCGAATCAACAAGTGGTTGCAACATTATACTGAGCTTCCTTTCTCAGTGTAAATAATGATTGACTTGCAGTCAGATAAAATGGAATTCTGTCAAGGTGCCAAGACCTACCTATATTATACCTATGATTACTATACTCATATCATATAGCAAATTACTTCTACATACATCATAATATAAATATCAGATAGGTAAGGTTTATGATCTTATCAACTCTTTTGTATGTTATTGATAATGTCATCACAAGAATCATAATTTGATACACAAGAACATACCTGAAATATGTCTTAGCGGAAATTGGAAGCTTTTGAATTTTAGTATCTTCTCAAACTCAGAATATACAAGCTTCTACTTTCATAAAGTTTTAATTCTGAAAGTGCCCATTATCAAAAAGTAATCAGAAATGAAATGGTGTTTTACTTTTACTTTTCAAAATCTGTAACATCACATGTCAGAGAGCCATCAGATGCCATTGACTTTCTATTATAGAGAAAGAACCATTGTCTGTTATTTGAACCCTTAATTTCTAGATGATACTGAATGTGTAAATATGGAAGTTATTGGCTCAAGTGCTCATATAGTTCTTCCAGGAATGTAATATACATTCAGTTGGTACCAATTAAAATATATTTTGTCATGCTAGAACTATTTTATACTTGACTCAAATATCAACCTTCTCTCTAGTTCGATATATAGACAAAGCTTTATGGAACAACAATCACTGGTTAAAGTTTTATGCNNACGTTTCGACGTCGAAACGTTGCAT